ACACACACACACACACATATATATATATTCAATATTTATTTTTGACGGAGTGTGAGTGGGGGAGGGGCAGAAAGAGGGAGACACGGAATCTGAAGCAGGCTCCAGGCTCTGAGCTGTCAAGCACAGAGCCCAATGCAGGGCTTGAACCCACGAACTGTGAGATCGTGACCTGAGCTGAAGTCAGACGCTTAACTGACTGAGCCACCCAGGCGCCCCAGGCTTTATATTTTTAATGTTCACTTTTGGCATGTAGAGCCCATGTAACACGTGTGGTTTAAAGAATACCCGCATGCCTAACTGTCACAGGGGTGCGTCTTTAGCTGTGCCCCCCAACTCTGGAGGCTGTTCAAGGTGCTCGTGAGGCAGTGCCTGGCTTGTGGCAGCTGATGCTCACTTGTGGCAAGATGCTCACTTCAAACTGAAATGCACCTTTTCCTCCAAGTCACAGTATTCGGCTGGCCTTATTAGCGTCAGAACAATAAGTAGCTAATGAATTTACTATAATGGCCTCATTGACTTTACAAAGATACTTAACTAAACACGTTTTTTTTAGTTTAATGCCTTCACTTCTGCCCCTTCAGGCTCTTCCATGAATAGAGCACAGAGCAAAAGCCCATTTTTTTACCTAGAACCATGGACATGCCTAATTTGTAATGAGTTTGCTTCACCTTCCAGTGACCTCCCTGGAAACAGAATAACAAAAGCTTAATCCTCATGAAGCTTCTGGGGAGTTCAGGGAACAGCAGTGATTCCTTACCTTAAGGTCAGACCACACAGGCAGCTGTCATACACTCCTGATTTTGTCAAAAATCTCAGAACATTCACAGTTAAAAATATTTTATTTAAGTTTACACAAAATACAGTCATGTACAAAAATGTACATAACGTTTTTCATTCAGTTTACATTTTAAAAAAGGACAACTGTAATTTCAAATACTTTCTGCTTATATGTCGTGTAAACATTGTTCTGGGCCCATATTAGTAACTAAAATTGCATCTACTCTTGGAGATTTGCATGACCGTATGTATAGGTGCTTTCAGACTGAGAAAGAGATCTGCCAAACCCATTTCTCAAGACGCGAGCATGACCACAACAGGCTGGGTTCCAGGCAAAATGAGAGTCTCTAGAGACATAACTGCAGCTTCCCAGCTACATGAACTTGTAGGTGTACAGATTTCATTTTACAAACATTTTTGTGTACATCGGTAATTGACCCAGCCTATGTACATCTATTATGAAGGATCGTGGTAGAAGAAGGCAGGCACCCACAGGGGCACACTCTGGATTCTGCAAAATGGCCAGTGCCCCAGTGCAGTGCCCGACATATAGATCATTCTTTTTTTTTTTTTTAAATTTTTTTTTCAACGTTTTTTATTTATTTTTGGGACAGAGAGAGACAGAGCATGAACAGGGGAGGGGGAGAGAGAGGGAGACACAGAATCGGAAGCAGGCTCCAGGCTCCGAGCCATCAGCCCAGAGCCCGACGCGGGGCTCGAACTCACGGACCGCGAGATCGTGACCTGGCTGAAGTCGGACGCTTAACCGACTGCGCCACCCAGGCGCCCCTAGATCATTCTTGTTTGGAGCGTACCATGCAAGGTGTGAGTGTGCACAATTTGAATGAACACTCGAAAATATGTTTAGCTAGTCTTACATCAAAATGTACTCTTGAGTACATTTTGAGGGTCAAGTGGAGAAAACATAAAAGAAGGGAATAATAGAAAACAAAGCACACTGAGTTCTGCCACACACAATGTGCTTCAGAAGAAACACTGCTTCACATTTGAGTACAGTTTTGTCTCCCCCTGTTGACGTAACCAAGTGGATACTGAAAAGAACATCAAGGAGATGTTGATCATGAGGCAGAAACCACCTCTCTCCACCTAGGGGTGGGGGAAAAAAAATCCAGGAAGCAGTGTGTCAGGAAGATTCTTCTTGAAATCAAAACAGAATTTAGACTACAACCAACTTTTCATAAAGCAGTTAATAGTTTATGGTACTCAAATACAAATATACCATCAAAAGTAGTAAGGTGTTACTGTTAAGAAAAGCGGTATCTTCATTATCAGATTAAGAATCTCATAAAAAGTTCATCAACCAACTGAAATTTGATTTACCTTGTAAATCTGATCATTTCTGGATACTGGGCCCAATTCTGTCTGCTGGGAACTAAGAAGTTCCAGAAAGAACCAACCTAATTGGCACCACGACCGCCCCTTGTATAAACCTAAATATTCGGCTTATTAGGAATTCTAAGCTCAACCACATTAACAAATGCTCAGCCCCCAGGGGCTCCAAGACTGCTGGCCTCAGGACATCTCAGTGCAACATTTATGCTTCAAGCACAGCCCTGCGGCATTTGTCCAGAAATGCTACACCTGGAAGCACCTGCTACGCCCTGCAAGAGCCTCTTCAGCCACCACGCAAGAATTGCATCAGAATGAGACAACGCAAAAATGACACCAATGTCACAAACAGAGATGTGGCTGAGTCCTGCCTAGGCAATAAATAATAACCTTTAGATTTCAAACTGTCAACGAAAGGGAAGAAATCTAATTTTTAGCTCTCAATGCGTTCTTATAGCTAGCAATTCAAAAAAATTAGTTCCCCAGCTTGAAATTTGGTTTGGTCTTCGATGGAAATTTCCCCTGAATTGGGAGGTCACTGAGATTGTGTGAGCTTTCTTCTACCAGTTTAAGACAAACATGCTGTCTGCAAAACTCAGCAGGCCCTGATCCTAAACCCTGCACAAACATGTCTGCAAAGTGAGATTTGAACTAAATGATGCAGAGATGAAATGCAGTCATGATACCGTACTGAATATAAACATCTATTTCAATGTTTACTCCAGACTGAACACGATAAGAAGCAAATGCGTGTGTGAAAATTACAAGCCTCTGCTATTTCTCATTCTTACAATCATACCATCAAGTTTATTCACGCTTTACCTTTACTTATCATTGCTATTAAATAACCCTTGACATTTGTTTTGTTGGCATGTGCTAATAAACACACACACATTCCCAAGAGAGCACAGGAAAAAAAACCCAGTCCAGAGTATTCTGTGTGAAGCCAATTAAGACACTGCCTCTAGGGCCATGAGACCCTGGGCTGCAGAAATGGTTGCTGTGGAAACAAATTTACCTCAGCCTTTCTGGCAGAGCCAAAACCCACTGCCAGGTCTTCAAATAGGGTCTTGTGTAAACAGGGCTTTTCCGCCTTTAATGTGGGCGCCATTCTAGGAAGTATACAGATGAGAAATTACAAAGGAAAACACAACATTCCATGCACAATTTATTTGACTGTAACTTGGTGTTTTCTTTTATTCATCATACAAATTTGAATGGGGAGTCCTGGATAAGTCTTTTACTTAATTTACCTTTGGCAGAAACAACAGATTTCAAACATTTAGTAGCTTCTCATTTATATAGCATTTTTCTTTTAAAATTCTGTGTGTAGCATATTAGTATTTTCAAAACAATACTCTTCAACAGATGTGCTTTAAAGGTTAACTGGTAATGATTTGATTTATATTATAGCTTATTTAAGAGAATAATTACTTAAAAAGGACACACTAGACATGTATTTCCTTAAAAAATACGATTTTTGGTCATGTGAATGATTCATGTTCAGATTTCAAAAATAGAAAACATCCTAAAGTGCTTAATTTTATTTATAATATAACTCCTTGAAATTATAGTGATCTGTAATGTAAACAGTCGAGCAAAGAATACCAAACTATATATTCATGTACATTTAAATTTGTAGGAATATGTACCGTCTTTACATGTGTGGATTAAAACAGGACACTTCCAAACACAGCTCATGCTTCTCTATATGATTATTGTTAAGAGCAAACTTAAAGGTATTCTTTTTCCCCACTCCCGACTTAAAACGATTTTCAACTGACACCTTCTACCTCACCTCAGCAATGGAAAACACTGCTATAAATCCAGTCTGACCAGTTTCTCAAGAGCCCATTTCGAAACTGACAACCGGTCTGTATAGAGTTTAGCGTTCTCTTTATTTTCTTCTCATTATCCAACAAAACAAAATGGTACCCTTTAAGAAAGCAACTCTCAAAACAGAGGAGGGCAGCCTTGCTCTCCTGTTCATCCTGCGACTTGATCTTTAAAAGGCAGAGCCATGGGGCGCCTGGGTGGCGCAGTCGGTTAAGCGTCCGACTTCAGCCAGGTCACGATCTCGCGGTCCGGGAGTTCGAGCCCCGCGTCAAGCTCTGGGCTGATGGCTCAGAGCCTGGAGCCTGTTTCCGATTCTGTGTCTTCCTCTCTCTCTGCCCCTCCCCTGTTCATGCTCTGTCTCTCTCTGTCTCAAAAATAAATAAACGTTGAAAAAAAAAA